ATGGGCTGAATTGCACAAAACGCATGATCGCACCGGCTAGTCTGGTGCGCGTTGCCATTTATTGGCCTTTAAAACAATACCGGTGCCGGGCGGAATTTTCAAGTCTCTCAAGGATTTCCTTAACGTAAACGTTTTTGGTGCTTAAACAGTACAATGCATGATGAGCGATTCCTAGCTTGAACGAACGCTGGTCATTTCCTCCTTGCAGAACGCCAACAAAAAAGTAGGTATTGATGAAGACGCTACTGGTAAAAAAGTGCTAGCTGCCGCGTAGTGAGTTACAATTGTGCCCTCTCTTTAAGCATCCACGTAATACCTTGGAAAATTCATTGGATAAATAAACGGTTCTTAGCAAAATTCCGGAATGAGGATGAACCTAAGAGGAGAAATATAGCGTAAGCTTGCCCCGTACGAAATACAAGCGTGATTTGGACAAGCATCCAGACTTACTCTACAAATTCAGATTCACATTCTTCCAATTTACTAAAAAAAATCGGCGAATATTTTAGGCGATTACATTGACTGTATATATAACGTGACGATTGCATATCCGGTAAATATTGTTCAGTCTGAAATTGATCTCATATTGAAGGGTCAGGCTCCCCGTCAAGTTCGATTTCATATTGAGCGCATTGACATAGCACGTGTACCAAACAGCGATCGAGATATTGCGAACTGGATTAATAAGTCAGAGTTTTTTTGCTATCCAGAAAAGTACACATTAGAATTGCATCCTGTTCATAAGTTGTAATGTGCCAGTCACACTAACGAATCTCAGTAAGTTTGAGGAATAGACCAAATCTAATCTGCCATAAAACGCATGGATTTCTAGATTTGATCTTGAAAACCTCTTTGAGGCTGTGGATTGAGAAGGATGAGAAACTGGATGCGTTCTATTCGCAGCAACTGCCTCGCCATCACTTTCCAGGAGACAAGGATAAATTCGTCTGGGAAGTAAGCTAATTCTAGCATTTCTATGAAAAATCAACACATCAGCACAGTGAGCGTTTAAAAAAAAGCACACATGAGGTATTAGTATTTCGAGTAACTTGTGGGGGATGGACGTTGTACCGGGAGAAGCGCTTCAAATCCCAGTCGCATAAGTGAACTTGGCTGCTCCATACAAAATTAATTCCAGGAGGAGAAACCACTTCATGTAATCGTCAAATTATTCATATTCTGTTTTTGGGTGTCCGTTATCCCTATTTGGCTTTTTCATCTCACATTTCTACGATTTGTACAGGTAGCTTTTTATTTTATAGCAATCGTATCCTTGTGCGCACACTAGGACACTCACGTCGTGCCCCTGCAGTGCGCTCGTTACGTTAGCCCTGCTGCTACAGATACAAGCTAGAAACGGTCGTCGAGTTCATTGCGTTAGGATAGTTTACGATAATTCATAGGCAGTGATAAAAATAGTAGTAGGCAATAGTAAAAAAAAGAATATCACGAATGGTTTAACTATTTTTAGTGAAAAGAAGTAAAGACAGAAATAAATAAGGGAAAGCTGAATTGGAATATTTCGGTCCATTACGTCGCATACATTCCCATTTATCGTTCTTTTCCTACTGCCTGTTATGTTCAGAAAAATGAAGGGCTTCACGGCCTGTATTTTAATCAAAAATACTTTAATACTTTTATCAACTTTTGGCAAAAAGAGATACCAGGCCTAAAGCTGTGGCAAATATACGTCCCAGAGCCGATTTTTCAGGAAAAATTGAGCCACCGAGTGTTTTTTAAAGAGGTTTAAATTGAAATTCTAGTCGGTTTTTTTATGGCAATAAGCAGTGACATCTTTTCTTGTCATATCGCTGGTCTTCGCCACGTCGTTTGAGAGGTTTTTCCTAGGCCTAATGTAAATTCCCTTATGAAGGTGCACAAATCAGCTTCCCACAATTCGTTTTCAGCAATAAACTGGCGATGCTAGGCACAGCTTTCAGTTTGCCTATTAGGCATGCAGCTCTCGGAAGGAGTGGCCGAAAGCCTCGCTTTCGATTAACAGCTGTGGCCAACGTGAAGTGTCATCGCTGAGTCCGGTTCTGACGGTGTTATCCTGTCACAAGTGCGAAATGTGGCTGTTCATTAGTTACTTTTATTGAGGAGGGTTTGTCAAAACTACTTACGAGTACCTTCACCTCTCGAAGAGAACAAAGAGGATTTTGACTCTAACTAGAAATAATGCACCGCAAATATCCTCAGTCATTTTGCTACGACCAGCATAGAATGATTGGTGCAAAAATTTTCAATAAAAATACACTTCTCAATTAGTACAGCAGCAAGTTAGCTTAGACTCAGGAGAATGAAAATTTTCAGCTCGGATTTGTGTATTTCGTTGCGGTTTACTGCTATATCTACTGCAAATATGGTGGTATTGAACAGATGGTTTACATGAAGTGGCGACACGCGATGCGGGCTGGGACAACTGACTGAGCGCATTTTTCGTGATAAAACACTTTTTTTTGCTCGAATTGTGCATCCGTTACTTCACGTTGTACATACAGCCAATACACAAACCAAACAGTGATGTTTAATTTTTTAGCCCAAAGATGCTAGCAGTAGTGGACAATGCGATGAGGAAAAATGTGATTTTGAAAATGTAACTTTGTACAAGTGTAATTTCGTAAAATGAGAAAAATGTAATTTCGTGAACATGTCCACAAAATCGACCTCGACGGGAACGAATACCGTATAGTTCCCCTCAATGATCATCAGTACAAACGCTGCCGCCGACTCCGAGTGGATTGCCTCTTTGGTTGGACGGTAAATTTCTCCGTCTCTGATCTCTGACTATAGGATGCTGGACTGAGGCTTATCCCGGTCTTCCATCCCAAAGAAAGTAAAAAAAAAAAAAAAAATAAAACATTTCGCGTAACTTTGGGCTAATTTGTTGACAAGCAGGCTGTT